ACTGCCGAAGAAGTTCGAAACCATTTCCAAGGTACAGATTGCTACTGCTATATGGATCACCCAAAGTGACTCCCGGGACAATGTCAATCCCTTCCTGAAATGATTGAATCATGACTGCAATCCTACCATGCTTCCAAAAGTTGCCTTCAAAATGGCACTAAGTCTCACAGCCCTAGACTGCTGGTCAACACCCAAGGTGCTCCACGCAATACTCGTCGGCCAGTGAGTCGACTGTTCGATCTCTCGCCCAAACTGGACAGATCCCTGGCTAGCCCATGCTACCAGTTCCTGAACATAGGAAGTAAACCCCAAAACCTCATCTTCGCGGGTTTTCCAGGCTGAATAGTCAACAGTGGGACTAGGACCCAACCACTTCTCACTTCTTGAGAAAACATCCCTATTCTCAGATCTGCCCTGACTAGTACCCAAACCAGGCAAATTACCAGTCGCATCAGGAATAAATCCCCCTCCAAACTCAGGTGGAACATCCCCCAATCGATCGGGAACAAACCTCTGGTGGTTACCATCAACCAATCTTTGAGTATTCTGAAAAACCTGTTGAAGCTCTCTAGCATTCAATCCCTGCAACAGCTGTTGAATCTGGGTTACTCGGTCGAAGTTACTACCACACTGCATCGGAACATTCTGCAAACCATTTCCGGCCATCGGATTTCTCACATTTCCTGGCCTTTGATTCATGCCCTGCAATGTCGGATTCACAACACCCACCCCATTTACTGGTGGACCGTAGCCATACACAGGCATAGGTGGCACAACTCTTCCAGGCTGAGGCCCTACACTACCTCCCCCACTGCCACTTCCGTGGCTACCTGAAGAAGGCGGCACAGGAACTCCAGCTCCGGGAGCAAAGACCATTCCTTGGTTCTGAAAACTCTGAGCTCCTTGGTTCACAAGATCAGGTTGCACAGTGTTCCTGTTACCTGTCCAGTTAGTCCACGGGTCCTCTACTTGCAACGGATCACAACCTTGACACGCACCACCTGCACAAGATCCACGACCTGCCTCACCCTGGCTACCAGCACCTCCGGCACACCCTGGGCAAGCACCCGCAGTCACCCCTGCCGCAGCAGCACGACCTGCACCAGCTTGACCTCGTTCAGCTTGACCTGGACTAAAGAACGACTCAGGACCAACACCTCCTGCACCTGGACTGTTCATTGAAGACCTGGATCTCTAGTAGAGATACCCGAAGGCTCCGCTACCATGTAAAAATCTTAATGAACCCCAACTCAGCTCAGCGAGTTCCAAATCCTTTTCGCGCCGTCAACAGACAGGTCACACAAGGCACAAAACCAAGTGTCTTAAATTCTCTTGTTACTCGAGCCACTCTCTGGTTGAGCAACACAAAGTCACACGGACTTCTCAAAAACAAAAGACTGCTGTACCAACTGCGGATTCCAGATCAAAAGTTGTTTCAGATAACATCCTACGCAACAATCAACGATTCCGACCTAACGTGTAGCTAGTTAGTACCATAAGTGGTTGATTTAACCAATCCAAACAAAGAATCAACCACTCATAGTACTTTAGCGTCACAGGCGATGTTGTTAGCTAACAACATCGACAAAATTGGTTGCACCAAAACTTGCCGTTTCCATATCATCCAATGATGATATTCACAGAAATCTTTACAGCATGATTTGACGAACAACTTCGTGATGTCAAATCATTTCCAAACGGTCCAAAAATGTTTGAAATACTTCTCAACTGTTCCGAACGTTTCCGAAAATGTTCAAATGTTTCCAAAACCGTTCCAAACAAACTGTGATCAAATCGGCTAAATCCCTAAAGCTCGAAAAACACTCTCGTCTCATTGAAAACGCAAATTCCAGCAAATACAGAGGTCAAAACGCAATGTCACCGAAATCGCATCCAATGAAATACCGTCCATTCTAGAACATTCTCAGCTCATCAAAAGTGCAGAATCTCAATGAATACCGAAGTCAAATGCAGTATCATAGAAGCATCATCCAATGAACTATTGTACCAAATAGAGGTGCACAACGGTCTAATCCCAGCGTACATCGTGAAGAAGCACGACGGTCCAATACCATATATTCACACATCGGCCACACTCGAGGAAAAAAAAAATACGCCAACTCCGCCAAATTAGCTGTATATTAGATAGTTGCACAATCTCTGCCAGCTACGAAGTAAGCCGCAGAAAGCCATGCTGCTACTGCCACATACAGCTAAAGGGGCTAGCATGTCATCGGAAGAGCTTTTTGCACAGATATCACACGCACTGATGATGAGCACAATCTCCCATACCATGAAGACTACAGTCGAGGTCCCTTTCTGGCCGCCATGTTTCTACTGGTTTTTTGGATCCTGTTTTGGGAGCCATGATGAAGCAGGTTTGTTGGCATTCGAGGCGCTCCAAGGCTCACCGAGGCCTGCCCGAGGCACGCATGGCAGGAGCTACTGTGGAAGAAACCGCCTTTGAGGACGTCAACATGTGGCAGGCACCGCCGCCAAGCTAGGATGTGCGTTTTCCCACAGCGCGGAGCGCATAGTTGATGAACTTGGACTACTATACCTGAAAAGCGTATAGCGTATAGTTGGTTCAATTCGATAAAAAGACCTTACTAAAAAAAATCTTTCTTAGAATGTGAGCTGACCGGCCAAAATGGATCTCACGCCACAGCGCGGAGCGTTTAGTAGGGTACTAAACCGTCTGGCCCGCAACAACAAAATTGTGTTCTCGCCACAGCGCGGTGGGTTTAGTTGGGCTCTTTTGTTTGTACGATTATTCTACAAATTCCATTTGTTTGCGTGACAGGCGCAGCACTTGAGAACCCCGTACGGCCATCTTAAAGGTTGAAGCGCGGCAGGCGCAGCGCTTGAGAACCCTGTACGGCCATCTTCAAAGTTGAAGCGCGGCAGGTGCAGCGCTTGAGAACTCCGTGCGGCCATCGTAAAGGTTGAAGTGCGGCAGGTGCAGCGCTTGAGAACACAGTACGGCCATCTTAAAGGTTAACGCACGGCGGCAGGCGCTGCGCTTGAGAACCCAGTATGGCCATCTTAAACATTGAAGCGTGGCAGGCGCAGCCCTTGAGAACCCCGTACGGCCATCTTTCCTTGCATGGCCCCCACAACAACCAACCACAAACTGAACCCCTGCGACCCCATTGTCAATGTTGAGGGTGTGTTGATGCTATTGCAACTAAGAAGTGAATTTCAATTTGAGGATGTGACCTGAGGCAAAATTTCTTTTTGATGGCTATCAGTTCAAAAGGTGAAACTGCAACATTTAAGCCTCCGTCCAACATTGAAGATGGGGCGCGGGGATTTAAACATACGTCAAATCCTCATCTTGGATTTGCAACTGCAAGTCTGGAGTCTGGAAGCGCAAACATCCACGATTCCCCTTTGCAGGAATGCCGATGTCGGGATTCTCCACAGGAATTTTAAATCTGAACACCACAAGCCGCTTTTGAAGCATCTGTAAATCTCCGAGCGTCACACCGGCTTTCGGTGTGTGTGTGTGTGTAGATAGTCCAATCTTCCAGTGAAGAAAAAAGGGGAGCTACAGCAATCATAGCTGAGGGTCAAAGATCGCGTTTATCTTTCTTGGTGGAGGCTTCAGGTTGGGCTTGCCACTGTGATGGGCGCTGTCCTTCTGCTGCAAGAGCGCTGTTGATTTCCAACCACATTGATGAGAAAGAGTTCACTACTGCAATTTTTTCAGCTTTGTTCCATGGACGGGGCAAGCAACGAATTTTTTTTCCTTCCAACGCCTTCATGGCTTCCGCCAGGTCGTTCAACATGTTTGAGAGCATGTTGCAATTAGGATTAAAAGCTTAATTAAGTCACGCAAAGGCCATTACTGTAGCGGCCGCAAAAGTAAACTGGTGGAGGACCGATACATAGTCCTATGCACTGTCACGCTCATCAAGAAAAACCGGCAAAACACAAAGAAACAAAACAACAAACAAGACCCGAAACAAACAACCAAAAACCACACACACCAAAGAGCGGTGACATGACAAGTACCAGTTTATGGGTGAAAAGATCCATAAAAGCATGAGGTGATAACTTAGTATCATCTCGAAACATGCATAATGACATCTTGTGTGCCATATAGACGCAGGCCCATAGAAATAAGCAACAACGAGACCAACCCCAAAATCACAATGGGCCACTTCAGCGGGTGCAGGAAGCAACAAAGCTCAATGCGGAAACCAGGGATCCCCCCAGCCAGGATCCCCGAGATCACAAAGAGCAGCCTTCACGGCATGACATGCACCCTGACACTTTGATGCAAACACCGACAAAGCCGGGTCGCAACGAAAGTGGTGAGAAGAAGTACCACAGTGAAAATGGAGAGTGAAACATGGTCTAAGGTGAAACGACAGTGAGACGAAGGCGCTCAGGGCACACTCAGAGTCCGCTCAGTAGTGCTTTTCCAATCATCATACCCTCAAGGGTTATCCATGTGCATTTCCACGAGTGCTTCAAGGCACTGTGCCTGGGGTGGTTCACTTGAATGACGACCAAAGTGAGAGGGCGGTGAGAGATAACCGGCAAGGACATCTCTCATAGCTTTCTGCAGTTTGGAGTGAGTTTCAGTGCACTATTACTGGAGAGGCACGGTTCCGTGGCTACGTTTTGGTGTAAGAAAACAACCCCAAAAAGAGGTTCCAGACATGCATGGAATATCCAAACAGGCGGAACCCCCCAAAATGTCATTGAATTTTCCTGCGGCACATGGTCACCGCACCTGGGGTGGCTTTGCCTGTCGGGCCATCTCTCGCAGCGACACGGTGCCACAATCAAAAACGGCAAAAGCAACAGCCAAACGCTGCAAGGCCAAAGGAAGCTGGAGGCGCTTGCCCAAAACTAAAAACTGCAATGCATGCATCAATCGCAACACGAAGCCGTGCGCCATTGCCAGAGCGGTCGCACGAGTCACTTGGCCCAATGAAGTTAGACAAATGTTTCCCAAAGATGTCACTGCGAAGCTCCAACTGGCAAAATTAGTTTCCACTGGGCTTGAAAGAAAGTGGACAGAATTGTCGGTCAACCGTCACCCCCACAGCACTGCCCGCGGGCGGCAATTCAATCCCACAGTAGCAGTCCTCCAAAACTGCAAAACCATTGCTGCTTCTGCCGGAACCCGAAGACAATGCGGCAGGCAAAATTTCCTGCCAGGGCTGGGTCGCGCAAACCAAAGAAGCACGATGCCAACCACAGCAAGCACGGCACCGAAGCCAACCACGCCAACCAAGCACAAGCCAACCAAACCAGACAAGCCAACCAAGCCAGCCAAGCCAGCCAAGCCAACCAAGCCACCCAAGCCAAGCCAGCCAACCAGCCAACCAAGCCAACCAAGCCAACCAATCCAACCAAGCCAACCGAGGCAACCAAGGCAACCAAGCCAACCAAGGCAACCAAGGCAACCAAGCCAGCCAAGCCAACGAATCCAACCAAGCCAACCCAGCCAACCAAGGAAACCGAGGCACTCAAAGCAGCCAAGCCAACGAAGCCAACCAAGCCAACCAAGCCAGCCAACCCACCCAAGCCACCCAAGCCACCCAAGCCAACCAAGCCAAACAAGCCAACCAAGCCAAGCCAACCAACCAAGCCAACCAAAGGAAGCAAGGCAAACAAGCCAACAAGCCGAGCAAGGCAAGCAAGGCAACCAAGCCAACCAAGCCACCCAAGCCAACCAAGCCAACCAAAGCAAACAAGCCATCCAGCCAAACAAGCCAACCAAGCAACCGAGCAACCAACCAACCAACCAACCCACCAACCAACCAACCAACCAACCAACCCACCCAGCCACCCACGAACCAACCAACCAACCAACCAACCAACCAACCAACCAACCAACCAACCAGCCCAACCAACCAACCAACCCCAGCAACCCCACCCAGCCAAGGCACACGAAGAGCACCTCCACGACGAAGAGCAAGTCCACGGAAGAGCAGGTCCACGGAGAAGAACGTGTCCGCGGAGAAGAGCATGCCGACGTAGAAGACAAGCGAGGTGCGGTGGGGCCTTCACAGGGATGGGTGAAGGCGAAGTGTTTAAATAAATCTCCCTTTGTGAATTAAGTGAAAGTGTTGCTTGGAGCAATTTTATAGTGATAAACCTGGAGATGTTAACCCTCTGTTTGAAAATGCATCTAGAGAATCAGAGACGCAAGGGTATTTCAAGTGGACAATTGCTGTCACTGAGGTTGTTTATGAGCATCATTTTCTACAGAATAGCTGACACCAAGTCACTTGCGTAAAACTGTTTGTGGTTTGGGGGGTTACTTGGCCTTCTATAAAATCAGCGTCCCCAAGTATCATTCATTGACAGCTGACCTGCATACTCCAGTTGCTCTTGCTCGAGGTTTTCAGTGTCAACCTGTTTTCAACATGAAATCTCTATCGAGAATCGCTGACGCCAAGCTCCTCTATAAGACACTGGGTAGGTACCCCTAAACAAAGGAGGGCCCTAAAACACACCATGTTCCCAGGCTTACCTGTTGCGCTTTTGAAGCGGAAATTGCAAGGAGGATAAGTAAATCAGGATGCATGATAGCAGCCATTTGGAGTCACATATCTGCCAAGGCATTCTCATCACGCCAAAGAGGCGCAGAAACTGGGATATATATGGAATTTGCGTCAAGCCACGGGTCGGCTTCACGCGACCAAATATTGGTGCAGACATTCATGGGAATAGCATACGCAAAGATTTGATAAGCATGTTGCTGTGTCGGTGACTGTCCAAGCATGACCGGCGTGGAGCCGGCTTGAAAGAGCTGCCGGTTATTGAGCACCAGCTCTGGCTCACACTCGTCGAAGACGAGGCACTTGTGCAAAGTTCTGTCAGATCGCGTCAAATTGGGTTGCTGCACGTTTTGGCAGCTAACAACAAGCGTGGCAGCTGGTCCAAAGATGGACACAGCAAAGGACGTCTTCCCATATTGCGAAGGTCCATGCAAAACCAGGAAAGGAAATCTGGAGCGAGATCCAAACCCATCAGTGTAAAGTTGCAGCCACTCTGTCACTGCGGGCAAGCAACGTGCCGGCTTTTGCAACTGGGACAAACGCACTTCCAGGACCTCTCGCATGGCTGCCTCGCGCCTCTGTTTCAGTTGCTCCTGCACAAATGAAATCTCGGCAATGTGGTTCCGGATGCCTCGAACACGGCCCCGCAACAACTCCTCAATAGCAACCTCGTCAGACAGCTTGTAGAAACGCCACAAAGACATAATGGAGGTGGCTTCCACGAGAAAGTCTTGAAACCGCACATAGGTACTCTCACAGAAGACCGACCCAAACTTTGGAGCTTGCACATAATAATGGGCTGCATCGAGCTGCCGCTGCAATGCTTTGCCCCGCCCTTTGGTGCCACGTACATGTGGCAAGGCCCCACGAAACTCCCAAAGCTGCAAAGCCCCAAGGCGCAGAGGTTTCTCAAAATTCGACAGCGCCACATGAAAATGTACCAAATTCTGTTGCTTTGTTCTTTTCAAACTCAATTCCATCTTGCAGGAAAGCTGTGGCCAATTCTGGTTGCTTTTCAAAGTCAGTCCCGTCACAAACTCACGCCACAAGGCTTCGTAAAAGGCGGACTGTCGCACTGCAGCAACCAATTCATTGTGGGTGCCTTGCATCATGGCCAAAGCATCCGCCTCTGGAGTGCCAGCTCCCCAGGAGCCATTGTAAGTCAAGAGAAAGCCATGCAGCCGTTCATCCGTCATCTGAGAAGTTGCACGACCTGCTGCAGATGAAGCGGTGCCCCCGCCACGCCTGCTAGCGCCACAAGATCTGTCACCAAACGTGCTCTCTGCTGGGAACGGCGGTGCTGGATGGCTGCTATCTGCCATGTGCAAGAACCAGCCGGTTTTGTGATCAGATGGCTGCTCCTGCCACAACTCTTTGGCTCGCGCAAGGCCGTCAGTATAGCTGGGGGCTTTCAAATGGGGCATGCGGCGCAACAGGCGGACACACCATTGATCACGAAAGGCAGACTTTTGGCGACTTGTCAAAGTAGAAACCGCGCTGCTGGCGCCGGGTGGAAGCACCCAAGAGGAGACCTTGGTCGCCCAATCAATCGAGAGACGCCGCCGCCGGCTGGGAGGCGGCGATGCAGCTTGATCTTCGACAGGCAACAGTGCCAACTGGCTATCACAGCTAGGCAGCACCACAGGTAACTCTGCAGCAACTTCGAACTCCAACATCAAAGCTTCTAAAGCGACGTCCAAGTCTGTGCCATCATCATCGACTGCCATGATGCAACAGAAGAAACATGCAGAGGCCTTGGAACCTAATGTCAAGCAACAGGCGCACAGGCTGGCTCAAAGTGGCAGAGCCCGGGTGGAGAATCTACACATCGCAGCCTTCTAGTGGAAGGACACAGAAAAGTATCCAGAATGCGAAGAAAGAGCGGCCAATACTAGCACACCTTTGCCAGAACCAAAATGGGCCGGTTGGTCCATGTGATTTGCAGAGGCTGACACTTCAGATTTGTGAGTGTGACTCTTCAAAATCCATGACTGTGGTATGGAATCACAATCGACACTGTGACATGTACATGGAGAGGAGGGATGTACAACATGTTCCGCACATAGAGGGACATGATAGTTGATGAATCAACAATCCTGTCGCCGCAAACGGCCAATGAAAAATGTTACGTCCGCCAAACTGTCGCGAACCCCACGTGTTTCTTTCGCGGGGCCCATGTTGGACAACAACGCCTCGTATGAAGCTTCGTGCACCACCTGCCCAATTACGCCAGAGAAGCACGGATCACTTTTTGATAGGCTTTTGAAACAAGCAGCGAGCAGCACGGAAGCCCTTCGCAGGACAGATTCTGGCTGACTAGGTTTGTTTTTGGCAGCGTTTACTGAAGAAAAAACGTTCGCAAAGGTGCCCAACATAACAGGAACGGTCTTCGGAAGGAAAACTCTGTCCAAGGACTTTGACATGGCTCACCACATGTGCACAACGCAGGCGCGGATGCCTGCGGATGCCCCCGCGGATGCGGGACGACCCCTTCAAAGGACCACCGCGGATGCCAAAAACCCCCAAAAAAAGGCCGCGGATGCATTTCCGGCGTTTGAGAAATACAAAGTAATAGAACGCAACCCGCCCTGCGGATGCCCAATGGGGTGTGTGGCACATTGTATGGGGGGGAGGGGTTTTTCTGGGCTTTGCTGCTGTCCCTCGGAGACGTCTTCGCGTTAAGGGGTTCTCTTCTTCCCTCTTTTGGCTGCCATGCCTTTTTCCAAACTTTGCCTTGCCACGCGTTGTGTTCCCAGTCGGTATGGTTTCTTCCACAATAGCTTCTGCCACGCGTTGCCTTCCCATCACGGGTCTGGCCCTGCCACGTTCTAGGTTCCTCTACGGGTGGTTTCTTCCAAACCTGCGCCTGCCACGCGTTGATGCCATCAGAAATGGGTTCTTCCACAGTAGCTCCTGCCACGCGTTGCCTTCCCATCACGGGTCTGGCCCTGCCACGTTCTAGGTTCCTCTAAGGGTGGTTTCTTCGAAACCTGCGCCTGCCACGCGTTGATGTCATCAAAAATGGTTTCTTCCACAGTAGCTCCTGCCACGCGTTGCCTTCCCATCACGGGTCCCTCCTCCCAAACGCTGGCCCTGCCACGTTATAGGTTCCCCTAAGGGGGGTTTCTTCCAAACCTGCGCCTGCCACGCGTTGATGTCATCAAAAATGGGTTCTTCCACAGTAGCTCCTGCCACGCGTTGCCTTCCCATCACGGGTCTGGCCCTGCCACGTTCTAAGTTTCCTCTAAGGTGGTTTCTTCCGAACCCTGCGCCATGCCACCTTGATGTTCCATCAAAATGGGTTCTTCCACAGTGGTTTACTTCCACAGTAGCTCCTGCCACGCGTTGCCTTCCCATCACGGGTCCCTCCTCCCAAACGCTGGCCCTGCCACGTTATAGGTTCCCCTAAGGGTGGTTTCTTCCAAACCTGCGCCTGCCACGCGTTGATGTCATCAAAAATGAGTTCTTCCACAGTAGTTCCTGCCACGCGTTGCCTTCCCATCACGGGTCCCTCCTCCAAAACGCTGGCCCTGCCACGTTATAGGTTCCTCTAAGGGTGCTTTCTTCCAAACCTGCGCCTGCCACGCGTTGATGTCATCAAAAATGGGTTCTTCCACAGTAGCTCCTGCCACGCGTTGCCTTCCCATCACGGGTCCCTCCTCCCAAACGCTGCCCTAGCCAAAGTTTAATATGTTCCTCTAAGGGTGGTTTCTTCCAAACCCTTCGCCTGCCACGCGTTGAATGTCATCAAAAATAGGTTTCTTCTTCCACAGTAGCTCCTGCCAAGCGTTGCCCTTCCCATTCACGGGTCCCCCCCTCCTCCCAAACGCTGGCCCTGCCACTTTAAGTTCCTCTAAGGTGGTTTCTTCTTCTTCTTCTTTCTTCCAAACCTGCGCCTGCCACGCGTTGTGTCATCAAAAATGGGTTCTCTTCCGCAGTAGCTCCTGCCAACATCGTTGCCTTCCCATCCCGGGTCCCTCCTCCCAAGGGCTGGCCCTGCCACGTTATAGGTTCCTCTAAGGGTGCTTTCTTCCAAACCTGCGCCTGCCACGCGTTGATGTCATCAAAAATGAGTTCTTCCACAGTAGTTCCTGCCACGCGTTGCCTTCCCATCACGGGTCCCTCCTCCAAAACGCTGGCCCTGCCACGTTATAGGTTCCTCTAAGGGTGCTTTCTTCCAAACCTGCGCCTGCCACGCGTTGATGTCATCAAAAATGGGTTCTCCCCCAGTAGCTCCTGCCACGCGTTGCCTTCCCATCACGGGTCCCTCCTCCCAAACGCTGGCCCTGCCACGTTATAGGTTCCTCTAAGGGTGCTTTTCTTCCACCGCGCCTGCCACGCGTTGAATGTCATCACAAATGGGTTTTCTTCCCAGTAGCTTCCTGCCAACGCGTTGCCCTTGCCCATCCACGGGTCCCTCCTCCCAAACGCTGGCCCTCCACGTTATAAGGTTCCTCTGACGGGTGGTTTTCTTCCAAACCTGCGCCTGCCACCGCGTGAATGTCACATCAAAATGTTTTCTTCCACAGTAAAAAAGCTCCCTGCCCGCGTTGCCTTCCCACAGGGTTTCCCTCCTCCAAAAACGCCGGCCTCTTGCCCCGTTCTAGGTTCCTCTAAGGGTGGTTTCTTCGAAACCTGCGCCTGCCACGCGTTGATGTCATCAAAAATGTTTTCTTCCACAGTAGCTCCTGCCACGCGTTGCCTTCCCATCACGGGTCCCTCCTCCCAAACGCTGGCCCTGCCACGTTATAGGTTCCTCTAAGGGTGCTTTCTTCCAAACCTGCGCCTGCCACGCGTTGATTTCATCAAAAATGAGTTCTTCCACAGTAGCTCCTGCCACGCGTTGCCACACTTCTCCCATCACTGGTCCCCCTATCCTCCAATACGCTGGCCCTGCCACGTTATAGGTTCCTCTAGGGTGGTTTCTTTCTTTCTTCCAAACCTGCGCCTGCCACGGCGTTGATTTCATCAAAAATGGGTTCTTCCACAGTAAGCTCCTGCCACGCGTTGCCTTCCCTCAACGGGTCCCGCCTCCCAAACGCTGGCCCTGCCTGACAGAATATGACCGGAGATTCCCCTTTATCGTTTCCTCTCCTTTGGTGTTTTTGCTTTCCTTTCTCTTCCAAACCTGGCGCCTGCACGCGTTGATGTCATCAAAAAATGGTTTCTTCCACAGTAGCTTCTGCCACGCGTTGCCTTCCCATCACGGGTCTGGCCCTGCCACGTTCTAGGTTCCTCTACGGGTGGTTTCTTCCAAACCTGCGCCTGCCACGCGTTGATGTCATCAGAAATGGGTTCTTCCACAGTAGCTCCTGCCACGCGTTGCCTTCCCATCACGGGTCTGGCCCTGCCACGTTCTAGGTTCCTCTAAGGTTGGTTTCTTCGAAACCTGCGCCTGCCACGCGTTGATGTCATCAAAAATGGTTTCTTCCACAGTAGCTCCTGCCACGCGTTGCCTTCCCATCACGGGTCCCTCCTCCCAAACGCTGGCCCTGCCACGTTATAGGTTCCCCTAAGGGCGGTTTCTTCCAAACCTGCGCCTGCCACGCGTTGATGTCATCAAAAATGAGTTCTTCCACAGTAGTTCCTGCCACGCGTTGCCTTCCCATCACGGGTCCCTCCTCCAAAACGCTGGCCCTGCCACGTTATAGGTTCCTCTAAGGGTGCTTTCCTTCTCTTCTTTTCTTCGAAGTTTGCGCCTGCCATGCTTTCAGTTCCCATCAGGGGCGTCTCCTTGCCATATGCGCCTGCCACGCTTTGGTTCCGGCACGTGTTGCCGCTTCCCACGCGTTGATTCCTCAAAGGTGCCTTTTCTTCTACAAATTGGCTCTGCCACGTTGTAGCTTCCCATAAGGTTTGTTTTTTCGAAGCTTGCGCCCGCCACGTGCTCAGTTCCCTTCTGGGCCGTCTCCTTCGTGTGCCTGCCACGCGTTGGTTCCGCACAGGGCCTTTTTCTTCAAACATTGGCCCTGCCACGTTATGAGGTCCCATAAGGGGTGGTTCGTCCGAGCCTGCGCCCGCCACGAGTTCAGTTCCCATCAGGGGTGTGTTCTTCCAAGTTTGGCCTTGCCACGTGCGCCTGCCACGTGTTGCTTCCTCCGAGTGGTGTTTCGTTCCAAACAACATTGGCCCTGCCAGGGTTTGAGGCCCCATTACGGGTTGTTTTTTCCGAGCCTGCGCCTGCCACGTGCTGACTCCAGCTGGGGTTGGTCCTCCACAGCTTGGCCCTCCATATGGGGTAGTTTCTTCCAGGTTTCTGCCTGCCACGCGTTGACCTCCCATCAGGGATGCTTCCTTCGGAAACTTGCCTGCGCCTGCCACGCGGCCTGCCACGCGTTGAGTTTCCATGCGGGGGCTGCCCCTTCCCACCCACGGGTTTCACAAGTCGGCTCCGCAAACCATGCAAAGAAGGTACACATCGAAAAACAGACACAAATGAAGCGGTCAATTCAGCTAACGTGACGAATTGTCGCGCACCAATCGGCTTCCCACCGTGCAAAACCACGCCATGTTTCCCTTCAACTTACAATTGGCCGCATGGGGCCTGCAAAACCAAAATGAAACAAGGTGGGCCAGAGAATTCACAAGCAACACGGCGTACAGCACGCCTTTTTAACAAAGTCTTGCGCTATGGGCAGCTGTGCTCTGCACGAAATGGACGTAAGATCTTTACTGAAACATCGTTCGCACTGATGGTATCAGGGGCCACAACTCACCACAGCATGCT